AATAATTCTATAGCAGCCATGGGTTTTATACCAATGTCATCTGCATATAAATACTTACATACAGATATATCATTCACCTGAAATCAACTCAAACTTAGATGAACTTTCACCACTTCAGCCAAATTGGAGGAAATACCACTTTGAATCCATTGAAAGCTAAAAATACAAAGTCTATTTAAAAGCTTCAATCTTTTGCAAGTCATAACTCTAAGTGAATATTTCATTGTGCTATCTAGGGTCCTAAGCAAATATTTCACACAGAAGCCCATAATGAATAAACAAACATTACATACAATAAAGATAGGGGCTGAATTTTCATCAGTAACAATGCAAGCCAGGAAGCAATAGTACAATATCGTTATAATGTCTGGAGAAGACCAGCCTGGCTAATATGGTGAAACCCTGTCTCTACTGAAAACACAAAACTTAGCCAGGCATGGTGGTGCATCCCTGCAGTCCCAGCTACTCGAGCGTCTGAGGCAGGAGAATCACTTGAACCAGGGAGGCAGAGGTTGCAGTAAGCTGAGATCATGCCACTGCACTCCAGCCCAGGTGACAGAGCTTTCCGTCTCAGGAAAGAAAAAAAAAAAAAGAAAGAAAGAATAAAAGAAAATATCTATCAAAAATAAGCAATAAGACAGTTTCAGAAAAAAAAAAAAGCTGAATGAAATTGTTTCTAGCATAAGTCCACCACAAGAATACTAAAGAAATTTCTTCTAGCTAAAAGTGAATATCATTCGATGAAATAAAGAGCACTAGAAAAAGAAACTTTGCTGTACCTAATTTTTCTTTCCTCAGTTTCTTTCAGAGATAACTGAACTATTTAAAGCGAAATAATAACAGCATATCATGAGCTTTATTAAGAAGAAAAATGTAAGACAACAATAGAACAAAAGATGGAAACAGATGGAAATACACTGCTTTAAGATTCTTACATGTAAAGACGTGTAGTATCAATTTAGGGTAGATTGTAGAAGATGACCCTGTCTCAAAAAAAAAGCAATACCAAAAAATAAAATACTTCAGGATAAATTTAACAAAATATGAATAAGACCTGTACACTGTTAACTATAACACACTGCAGAGAGACATTTTAGAAGACCTAATAGAGACATTTATTCATGTATTGGAAGTTTTAATATTTTAACATATCAGTTCTCCTCAAATTGATTTATGCATTTAACATTATTGCTTCCAAAATTCCAACAAAGTTTTTGTAAAATTTATAGGCTCAATCTAACATGTAGATGGAAATGCAAAGGACCTAGAAGAGACAAAACATTTTGAAAAACAGAAACATAGGTAGTGGAATTACAATAATGAGTTTTCATAATTTACCATAAACCCACAGTAATCAAAGCCATAAACAATTTTGGCATAAGAACAAACAAATAAATCAATAGCATACAATAGAGAGTGTAGGAATATCACACACATATGTATTGTCAGTTGATTCTCGGCAATTCTACCAAGGGAATCCAATGAGGAAAAAAAAAACTCTTTTCCACAAACAGTGCTAGAAAACCTGGATATTTACAAAGGGGAAAAAATAAATTCTGACACCATACACAAAAATTAATTTGAAATGGATTATAGACCTAAGTATAAGAGCTGAACTGTTACAATTCTAGAATAAAACAGGAAAAAATCATGACGTTAAGGAAAGACTTCTTACGTAGGTCATAAAAACATGATCATCAAAGAGCAAAGAATAATAAATTGGACTTAATAAAATTTTAAACTTTTGACTATCCAAATGCATGGTTAAGAAAATAAAAATTCAAGACACAGCCAGGCACGGTGGCTTTTGCCTGTAATTCTAGCATTTTGGGAGGCTGAGGTGGATGGGTTGCCTGAGTTCAGGAGTTCAAGACAAGCCTGGACAACATGGCAAAACCCTGTCTCTACTAAAAATACAAAGAATTAGCTGGGCTACTGGCACACACCTGTAGTCCCAGCTACTTGGGAGGCTGAGGCATGAGAATTGCTTGAGCCTGGGAGACAAAGGTTGCAGTGAAGTGAGATCATGCAACTACACACCGGCATGGGTGACGGAGCGAGACTCTGCCTCAGAGAAAACAAAATGCAAGACAGACTGGAAAAAAACGTTGCAAGATGTGTATCTGATAAAGGACTCGTATCCAGAATATGTAAACGACCCGTAACTGAACAATAAGAAGATAACCTGGTTTTTAGAAAAGGGACAGAAAATTTAATTAACACTTTACATAGAAGATAAGCAAATAGCAAATAAACACATGAAAAGATAAATATTTTTAGTGACTGGAAAAATGAAAATTAGAAGCACGATGAGATGCTACTATATAGCTAGTAAAATGGCTAAAATTTAAAAGGATTGCAATACCAAATGTCAGCAAGTATATGAAAGAATTAGGGCTTTCATACATTGCTGCTGGTGGTGCAAGAGGGTACAATCACTTTTGAAACCAGTTGGTGGTTTTTTAGAAAGTTGAACATACACTTACATTATACCATAAATCCCATTAACCTTTACCCAAGAGAAATGAAAACTACAACACCACTCAGACATGAATATCAATAGAAGCCTTATTTATAATTGCTAAGAAATGGAAGCAACCCAAATGTCCATGAACAGATGAATAAGCAAACAATATATGATGCATTCATCACTGGAACACTATTCAGCAATAAAATATTGATAGACGCAGAAACTCGTATAAGTCCTGCAAACCTTACACTGAGCAAAAGAAGCTAGCCGCAAGTGAGTATGTACTCTAATTTTACTTTGTGAAAACCTTGGTCAGGTAAAATTAATTTATAGAGACAGAAAGCTGATCGGTGTTAGCCTGGCATCAAAAACGGGGAGAATTCACTGTGAGGGGATTCAAAAGCAAACAAACAGATGAACAAACTCTGAGGTGATGGAAATATTCTGCATCACGTAATTGTTGATTAGGGGGTGATTACCGGGTATGTACATTTGGAAACACGTGGAACTGAAAATGGGTACATTTTATTGGAGGTAAGTTTTAACTCAACAAGGTTAGATTAAAAGGAAGAAAAATACCCAGTGAGCTATTCTACACAACTACTTGAATGGCTAAAATTGAAAGCACTGACACTACCTAGTGTTAGCAAGAAAGGAAGCAACGCGACTCTTATCCACTGCTCATTAGTGTACGCATTGATAAAAGTCACTCTGAAAAACCATTTGGCATTATTGATCATATGTGTAAACTTTGACACAGAAATTTTTTTTAAGTATATACCTAACAGAAACGTGTCCATACATTCACCAAAAGAATATTCACAGCAGTATTTTGTGCAATAGCTAAAACCTGGAAGTAACCAAATTGCCCACAATAGTAGAATAAATTAATAACTGGCAATGTATTCATATATTAGAATACAGCATTGAAAATGAATGCTTCTATGTGCAAGAAACACGGGTGAATCTCACAAACTTTAAACTGAGCAAAAGAAAGCAGACACAAAGTCTACATACTGTATGATTACATTTATATACAAATTTAACATATGGAAAATTAATCCATGATGTTAGAAGTCAAGAGAGAAGAAGAGGGAAGGTTGGAGCTAGGAAGGGGGCATGAAGGGAGCCCCTGGGGGGCTGGGGACTTTCTATTTCATGACCCCAGTTCCTACTAGAGTGTGGTCACTTTGCAATGGCTCATTGAGTGAGACACTTACAGTTTGTGCATTTTTGTATATGTATGCTTTACTCATGCATATAAAAACTTTTTTAAAAAAGTAACAAGAGATTTATGAGTAATGGACATCAAAAAAGCAGAAGTCTAGAGCTTTCTGCCATAAGTTTGCTGTTAAAGGGAAGATGCAAAAAGGAAGGAAGCTTGCATTGTAGTCCTACCACGAATGACATTTTTTGGATTAGAAAAGATTTGAGCATGCTCATATTCTGATTTTTTAAGCCAGTGAAAGAGAAGAATAACACTACAGGAAATAAATTATTAAAATAATGAATATTGTTTTTAAAAAATGGTGAAGCAGGGGGCCAGGGATGGTGGCTCACACTTGTAATCTCAGCACTTTGGGAGGCCCAGGAGGGCAGATCACCTTAGGTCAGGAGTTTGAGACCAGCCAGGCCAACATGGTGAAACCTCTTATCTACTAAAAATACAAAAATTAGCCAGACGTGGTGGTGTGTGCCTGTAATCCCAAGCCATTCAGGAAGCTGAGGCAGGAAAATCACTTGAACCCAAGAGGCAGAGGTTGCCAAGATGGCACCACTGCCTTCCAGCCTGGACAACAGAGCAAAACTCCACCTCAAAAAAAGAAAAACCAAAACTATGAAGCAGGGGCTCTATGGGGAGGACTAGGGCATTCGTGGACATGCAAATCTCATACAAAAATGACTCTTTTTCCTCTTAAGTCTCAAAAAAAGAACATAATGATGGGAGCCACATAGGAAACCGATGAAAACATGAAGGAAAAGTGGGACATTTTGAGAAAAAACACTGAGGGGGTTTGTGCTATGATACAAAGCACAGCCACAGGCTGAGAGGCTGTGGATCAGGCTTGGGATCTTAAGAAAAGAGTGGCAAAAGGAGGCACATTCACTATAGGAGAGTGAGGGGCAGCTGCTTACAGATAAATGAAAGAAAAATTGAGTCCTGTTGAAGGTTGAGCTAAATTTGTAAACTACACATTTCAATTTTTTTTTGTATACCCTAAGTTCTGGGATACACGTGCAGAACATACAGATTTGTTACATAGGTATACACATGCTGTGGTGGTTCGCTGCACTTATCAACCTGTCCTCTACATTAGGTATGTCTCCTAAATCGTCCCTCCGCTAGCCCTCCATCCCCTGACAGGCCCCGGGGTGTGACATTCCCCTCCGTGTCCACGTGTCCTCATTGTTCAACTCCCACTTATGAGTTAGAACATGCAATGAGACTACACATTTCTTAGTGTGTCGATTGGCACAATCATTCTCCCAGATACCCAAGCATGAGACCTTGAAGTTCCCTTCTCATTTCAGCCCAGGATGGAATGAAGAGCACATGGCGCCTTCATAGACCAGACATGAGCTCAGCAGCCCTAGCCCATCCCACGGTCAGGCTCTCACCCTGGTAAGTATAAACTAATCATAGCTGGCAGGCATTGAGCTCTTATTATGTATGAGACATTGTTCTAAGCACTTGGTGTATGTTAGCCCATTTGATTCCCACAACAATATCTGCGGTAGGTTTTCATTTTTTCATTTGGTAGCGAGGGAAAACAAGGCCTGGAGAGGCCAAGCAAATCACCCCTCTTAGAATCAGGAGTGAGCACACCAGGATGCAAATCCAGGTAACTGGGCTCCAAAACCACATTTGCAACCATAAGCCTAAGGACAGGCATTGGCCTGGCTTCCAGCATCTCTGTCTTTGAGTTTTCCTGTCCAACTTCAAAATCTGACTTTTGCAAACCACCTTCAGCATGGCCTGGGGTGCTCTGAAGGTTGATTTTTCTTCTGGCTCCAGGTGCCACATGCTGTCTGGAAAGAGAATTCTGCCCTCCCCTCAATCTATTGGTTCAGGTCCAACTCCTGCAACAGCTTTTTGTCCATGAGTCAACCTTGATGCTCCAAGCTTGGGAACTCAGTGGTGTGCTAATGTTTCTGTCTCTCCTACTCAGTCTTCAGAAGTGGTTAATCATTTTTTAATGCTGAGAATAAGTACAAGGAAGTTTAAAAAATGGAGAGCAAATCCCATTTTTATAAATAAGTGGTCTCCTAGAAGATTATTTTCATCTTCTTCCAGGCTCTATAGTTCTGGTTTTAACACAAAACTATCTTTATGTATTTTACCCTGTTCTCTTGTATTACCTTTATGTATCTTACCCTGTTCTGTTGGATTGATTCTCACTTGAGAAAAAAAAAAAAAGACTTGTTCTCTTTTTCCCTTGTGTTTCTTCAGAAATTCATCATTTAAAGAAAGAAATGTTTAAATAATTGATTTTCCTGCCCCAGGAGATTAGTTTTCCCTTTCTAAAGAGTTATTTCCCTTTTTCTTCTTAGAACATTTTTTTCCAGGATTTTTAAAAACAAGTTAGAGGTTACAACAACCTTTTCTATGCCATCAAGGGATACTCTTAAGATTCCATGTAGATCTAATCCTTATCAGTTTGAATAGTGTTGACCATTAAGAGAATTTGCCTGTCCACGTTCAAAATCTTAGTTCAAAGATCAGTATACTATCTTTAGTCACAGATTCATGCTAATATACTGCAAACGAAAATGCTGCAAACCTTTGAAAGCTGTTTTATAGGCACTGCTCTGTCTACATAAGAAGTACTTAATATACTTCCTTTCTTCTCACAAGACAGACCTGAAAGCCTTGTCATGAATAGCATGAAATCTCAACTTCCCACGCTTCAGTGTGGAAGCCGTATCATAAAAACATAGTACATTACCCTTAAAACAAATTTCTCTCTGACTCCAGTGACACTGAAATGGACTGCAAACAATGGTGCTGGCGGAGTTCCAGGCTTCTGGACACTGCTTCTTAACATGAAGTGAGTTCCCAAAGGCTGGGGTTGTGTTTCTGAGGATAACAGATCCTTTAAAAACTGTACACTTTTGTGTCTACATATGCAAAGTAAAGCAGTGAACTGGGGCAATTATCCTTGTAATTCAAGTGCACTCTTTCCTCCCCACATACATATTTTGGCTTCAACTATCTGAGCATTTCAAACAAAAGGTATCCTTTTTCCCCTTGGATAATTGCTTCATTTCTCTGCTTTATCTTGTGTATGTAAATTCAAATTATTCCCAAGTCTGTATGTAGAGGTAAGAGAAACTTTTGCAAATAAATACTTTTGGAACCAACACTTCTCTGTTTTCTGCTGGAGGGCCATATAACACTGCACATATGGTTCAACGGGCGAAAGGACAGAGTCCTACCCAGGCAGGGATGTCCAGTCTTGCAGCCTGTGGAGTAGGGATGACGGCAGAGGCCTTCCCCCCTTAGGGACTTGACAGAAGTTGTCATCCAGTACGCAGGCACACAATTCACCTGTGGCCTGCTCATTATCATCAGACGTGTTGACAGGCATGGGGCCTGGGAAGGAGGCGTCTTTCCATGCCAGCCAGTGAAAGGATGGGAGGCCCTGTCTCACAGCAGGAGTGAGACACGGTGCCAGCGTCATAGATGGGCATACACCTCCCAAGTCATGGACAGAAAGTCCCTCGATGCCTGTGGACTCTTTTGCAGGGCTTTCTCATGTGGGGTGAGACTTGCAGAATGGGATGAGAAATTGTAGACTGGTCCCTAGTGTTGGACTGAAATATGATGTGATTAGCTGGTGACCCAAAGTCCCAGAGGAATCAGGCATCTTAATGAACTGACATCAGTTTAAGGGAAAAAAAAATCAATGGTTTGGTAGGTGAGCAATGCAGCCATATTTTTGTTGTTCGGCCTTTTTACTAAGCCGTAAAAGGAATGTGTTGCTTTCTTTGAATATGTGTATGGCTGAGCGTGGCCAGCTCACATGTATGATCCCAGAATTTTGGGAAGCCACGACAGGAGGATCACTTGAGGCCAGGAGTTTAAGACCAGCCCGGGAAACATGGTGAGACCTGTCTCTACGTATGCACAAACATTAGCCAGGCATGGTGGGGTACGCTTCTAGTCCCAGCGACTAGGGAGGCTGAGGCGTGAGGATTGCTTGAGCCCAGGAGTTCAAGGTTACAGTGAACTATGATCATGCCACTGCACTCCAGCCTGGGTAATAGAGCAAGATCCTGTCTTAAAATGTGTAGACATAAATATGGACTTCATGTCAGGAATCCTCCATGGACTACAACTGAGTAAAAGTATGTTTAAGATACAATAAAGTCTATTCTCAGAACACTTACTGATAACCCAGAATCTCCGAAAATGATGGATTTTTAATGTTGTGAAACATAGGTCAGGGGCGGATGACCGTAAAACACCTCACATAACCACAGGGAAAACTGTATAGTTTTTACTGCGTTGTGGTTAGAGTTTCAAGGTTTTAGACTGCACGTCTCTAAAATGTTATTATTTCCCTTAGCATGGAGCAAAAGTGTTTGTTGATTCCAAACCAACATAGAGTGAGCATGCATGGGTATATGCTGCTCGGAAGTCAATTCCTCCATTAATCAGCTGATAATGAAAACAAAATGCTTTGTTTCTATAAAGGGGGGAATCTGTGGAGCCATATATCAAAGAGACATCGAGAGGCCCTGATTCATTAAAACTGTGAAGAATGAGGTGACAGAATGGGGCTGGAACCACTTAAGATGAGTGGCTGGGATCAAAGGTCTGTTATGAAGTCCCAGGAATTGTCAGCAGCTGATATGAGCAGAAGGATGAAAGGAAGGTTATTTCATGACGCTCAGATTTTCATTTCCTGGTTATAAATCAGTATTTGTTTATGTCAGTTTACCTTAAAGGGAACATTTAGTCACGAGATATTTTAATATAATTTATTATTGCCTCCCATCCAAAACACCAGAAGGAGGCCGGAGATACAAGACCCTGAAGGGAAAGAATCCCCGCTTGAAGTGCAGAGAACCGGTTCCATGCTCAGGACTGCCAGCTGCTGCGGGACACCTCCAGTGTTTAATTCTCTTTCTCTGTTGATATGTTTGCAGATCCCAAAAGGTGATCCCTTGGTTACACTTACATCCCCAGCTACTTGCCTTTTGTCCTGCTCTGTCGTTTTCTTGCTCAAGTCCTCAAACCTGTGTTTGAAGTCACCACTCTTTCACCCATTTATTCCCTTCTTCAACCCCTGAAATGCCTACCTCCACTTCTGGACAGCACCTGCACTTTCTAAAGCTTCTCTGATCTCCTTCTCTCTCCTCTTGATCCTCCTCCCCTCTCTCTCTCACTTCCCCCAGCTTTCTCCCCTCTATTCTCTACCTGCTCTCTCTCCCCAATTCAAATTCAATGGTTTGATTGACATCTCATTCTTTCCAGCCCATCTTTGATTTTGGACTTTTTATTTTTAGAGTTTCGTTCTTGTTGGCCAGGCTGGAGTACAGTGGCATGATCTTGGCTCACAGCAACCTCTGTCTCCCAGGTTCAAGTGATTCTCTTGCCTCTGCGTCCCAAGTAGCTGGGATTACAGGCATGCGCCACTACGCCTGGCCAATTTTGTATTTTTAGCAGAGACAGGGTTTCTCCATGTTGGTCAGGCTGGTCTCGAACTCCCAATCTCAGGTGATCTGCCTCCCTCAGCCTCCCAAAGTGCTGGGATTACGGGTGTGAGCCACCGCCCTGGGCACTTACGTCTCTATCTTTAGCTCTCTTCCTTCTCCCCATCTTCTTTGCAAGACCCTTCGTTTACTCTATGACGCCATCTAAATTGTCATCTTCTTATGTGCCTATGGTCAATTCAGCTAAACTCAACACGGATTGAGTATCAACCCCCGTGGCCAGCTGCCTATGAGATTGCTCTCGCTATTTGTCCTGGTGATGCTGTGGGCTGCAAATGCTCAGTGCTTGATATCTTCCCTCCTAAAATGGCCTCTCCTTCCCATCAGTCTCCTGTCTGTTACCACTCATCCTGCTTCCTGTCTTTGAAGTGAAAAATCCTACCGTTTGATTATTTCCTATTCCTCAGTTATAATGCCTAATCTGTCAGGTTTCTGACTTCAACAGCCCTCTTTGGTATAACCTTTCTTTCATATTTTTTCTTTGTTTCTTTCTTTTTTTTTTTGAGATGGAGTCTCACTCTGCCACCCAGGCTGGAGTGCAATGGTGTGATCTCGGCCCACTGCAACCTATGCCTCCTGGGTTCAAGCGATTCTCCTGCCTCAGCCTCCTGAGTAGCTAGGATTACAGGTATGTACCACCACACCTGGCTTATGTTTTGTATTTTTAGTAGAGACTGGGTTTCACGGTGGGTTGGCCAGGATGGTCTCTATCTCCTGACCTTGTGATCAGCCCCCTCGGCTTCCCAAAGTGTTGGGATTACAGGCGTGAGCCACCATGCCCGGCCCGGTGTAGCCTTTCTTTGCCCCCTCCCCAGCTGCAATTTTCATTTGGTTTCTTTCCTTTCAGCAGAGATTTCCATGACCCCTGTAACAGTGCTCCTTCTGCTGCTTCTTCCAGCACTAGGACAGTCTCTCACCTCCCACACCTACCCCTCCTCCCAGCATTGCAACAGCCTGTAGCAGCATCTATAACCTCTCCAGAGAACTCACAAGTCTTCCTGTTCAGGCTGCAGGATACAGCAGAGTCCGAGTAGCCAGCATTTGACACCTAATTCTGTGTCACAGTTGACCGAAGGCTTGCGTGTATATTCCTGTCACATTTTCCTCCTAGTAGCCCTGTGCAGTCTAACGAGCAAAGGAACAGATGAATTAACCACAGATAATGAAACTAGAGTTTAGGATGGTTCAATGCTTGCCCAAAGTTTAAGAGCTGGTGGCTGTAGAAGCTGGACTTACATCACTCAAGTCGCAGGGGCTGAGCCCAGAGTTCCCTTGTAGCTTTCAGAGACTAAACAATGACCATCTTGTTCTGCTGAAATCTCCCAATGGACCCTCACTGTCAGTGAAACAGAGACTAATTTTATTAACCTGGCTCTCAAGATGGAACCCTCCTGGTTTGGTTCCAAGTTACTTCTCTAGATTTATTTCCTGGAAAAGTAAACTTATATGCAATATTTGTGTACCACACTCCAAGAAAAAAGTACCCCCTGCAACTCTTAGCTGATCCCCAGCTTCAACCTATTTTGTAGCCAATTCTCCTTGCAGCAGCCAGAGTCTCCTGAGCAATGTGAATGAGTTCAGGTCACTGCTTTGCTCTACCCACTCAAGATAAAATCCCAAGTCATTACTATGGTGCACCAAGCCCCACATGATCTGGCCCCGAGGTTCTCTTTAACTTCATCTCTGTAATTCACCTGCTTGATAAGTTGCCATGTTGGTTCATTTGTGTTCCTTGGATATACCTGCTGTTTCTTATGCAGGCCCTTTACGAGTGCTGGTCCCTCCACCTGTGATGCTCCATCGTGACACCTCCATGGTAGCCCCTGACACTTTCAGAAGATTTTTGTTTGTTAGAAGGGCTTCCCCAATGACCCTCTAAAATATGTCCCTTGTCACTCTCTGCTCCTTATCCAAGTTTATTTATTTTATTGGGTTTTTTGTTTTTGTTTTTGTTTTTGTTTTATTGAGACACAGTCTCATTCTGCCACCCAGGCTGGAGTACAGTGGCATAATCTCAGCTCACTGCAGCCTCCACCTCCTGGGTTCAAGCAATTACCATGCCTCAGCCTCCCAAGTAGCTGGGATTACAAACACGCATCACCAAGCCTGGCTAACTTTTGTATTTTGTATTTCATGTTGGTCAGAATGGTCTAGAACTCCCGGACTCAAGTGAACTGCCCACCTCAGGCTCCCAAAGTGCTGGAATTACAGGTGTTAGCCACTGCATCTTCCAGCTTTAATTTTATGCTCGGTGCCTAAGACCACCTGGCATATTACAGTTTTATTTGTTTCGTGTCTTTTTCTTGCTACTAAAGCACAAGCTCCTTGAGAGCAGGGACTCTGTGCACTCAGTTTATCCCTGGGTCCCTAACACCTGGAGCCATCCGTGCTACACAGTAGCTGCCTGTTGTTTGCCATCTCTACATTATTACTCATGCTGCCCTTTCTGCCTGGAATTTGTGGAATACCCACTTTGCGCCAGATCCTGCAAAGGACCCCAATACTCTGCTCTCTCTGCCTGTCAATACCCAAGTCACCGCACAGCCAAAGGTTATATTTTCCTGACCATCTTCGATCTCTTCATCTGCTAGTGGTCTACTCTTGTCTACACCCCAATAGCAATGTCTTCGTATCCCTTTTGTGACATGTATTGCCCCCTATCTGTAGTGAGGTTATTTGTGTACTAGACCTAACTCTCATTGTATTTGGGACAGTGCCTGGCACAGATGTCAACACATAGTATTTGAATAGAGTAGTTTTTAGACATCAGTTATGAGAGCGTAATTGTGTATTCAATTCAAGGTATCAGTAGAAAAGTAAATATAAGTGAAAAAGACTAGAATAGATACAAGAGTATAAGTAACAAAAGGAAGAGAAAAATGGAGGAAAACCCCAAGAGAAGCAGAGATTTATTATCCTTTCAGAAAACATACCTCCTTCTTTAGGTTAATCCCTTTCCTTGAGAAAATGGCCTGGAAAAGATGACTGGTTAATTTCAGACGCCCTCGACTTCCATTTGTCTATTTGAAGTCAGCTGGGTGGCTGTGTGGGAGCTGGAAGGGCGGAGATAAGGACAGATGGCTATCACCGCTTGCAGTCTTCCGTGTGAGGAGCCGGTCCTGCCGGTGCCCACGGTTGTCAGCACTTTCCCCCTCTGGCTCTGCTGACATTGTTCTGACACCCTGTGCACCACCAGAAAGTTCACTGACCCTTCACAAGCAGGGGTCACAGGTCCATTTCCCAGCGTCATCGGGGATCACTCCAGGCTGTGTGCTGACCCAGCTCAGGGAACAGTGGCCAGTGATGTCAGCCAGCAGGAGTAGGGCAGGCCTCAGGCAGGGGGGGTCGGAACAATCCCAGAGCAAACCAAAACCTTTATTGCAAAGTCCTGGGTGGTGGCCTCTAAGGAGAACATAAGAAGCAGGGGGAAGGAGCAGTGACAGAGGGGGCCTCTCTGTAAGGGGTGCCGGAGGAGACAGCAGTGCGGTGTTTCCTGGTAAGCAGGTCAAATCAGCTTATGCAGTGTGGATGAGCCCACAGACAGCAAGCTGAGAGCACACTAGGAGTGCACAGGCAGCCGCTCTGTCCATTTTTCCAGGAGGGGTGGTGGCAGTTGCAGCAGCTGCTCTGGCTTTGTCCCCTGCTGACCCAGTGCCAGCAGTCTTCCGCATTTACCCCAAGTCATCTGCACCCCTTTCTTCCCCACCCTTACCCCTCACTCCCTTCCAGGAGAGGCAATATGAACAGGCACTAAGTGTGGCATGTAAAAAGCCTCAAGTTCTCAAGAAGAGCCATCTAACCCCCCTGCACCTTGATTTCTCCATCTAGAATGAGTAGGAGAATATACTTCTCTGCTCTATGCCTCAAATGAAATGCTTATGAAAAATTGCTACTAAACCATCATGCATACAATACTCATGTTAGTAGCAATGTTTAACTCATGTTACCCCAGCTTATTCATTCCTTATCTTCCACGTCTTTGCTTACCTGCCCCTTTATAAACCTGCCATAATATGAGCAAATCATATTTGTAAAAATGCAGCTAAGCCAAGTATAAAGGTTCCCACCCATGAGAAGAGATAGCTTTGTGCTCATGTGTATAAACCAAAACCACAATTTTATTTGCATTAAGAATTTCAGGATATTACAAATATTATGCTTTAGTACCTAAAAATTTAGTCACTTAAAACTGATTGAAACAGGTCACACTGCTTTCATATCCATCACTTTTGTGGGGGGCGGGAAATGATGCTTCGTCAACAGACCTAAGTACCAAGGTGGCTTTTACAAAAGTGGAGTCCCAGGTGGCTCTGTGAGGCGACCCTAAGTGCCAATGGGAATTGTTCTAGACCAGCTTTACACCTTCTGCCCCCGCAATTTCTCTCTCTTGCCTATTTGTGATCCCCAAAATGTCACCATCAATTAAATAAGGTAAGAGTCCCAGGCTAGAATGAGAAGCGATGTTAACTCACAGGGACAATTTAACTCTAGCTC